TATATATATATATATATATATATATATATATATATATATATACTATCTTTGTTTTCCTATTACCTAAATTCATCCAAAATGGGATGATGGTCCATTATGTAACTAGTGTTTTAAAAATCAGATTGAACTGGTCAGTCGTGCTGATTGAACTGAGAATCGTTGGTCTAGTCGGTCCGAATCTTGAGATGGATCGGTTATGCACTTGACCCATTTTAAATCGAAGCGAACCGGTCAATTTTCTGGTTCGATCAGTGAATCAATGGGTCAAACTGATTCAAACACAATTTTTATTTTTATTTTTTAAGGGACCACAAACCACAAAAATAACAATGGGAATTGAATCTTATTAATGAAAGAGCAAAGAGTCTTATTAAACATAATAATGACTACTTATTCTAATGTATTTGTTTATAATATATACGACTTAAATAATTTTTATAATATACTATTATTTTTAAATTATATATTTAATAATATAATACCTATGTAAATATTATATATATTATTTTATGATATCAGTTACAAGTAAATTATATATGTACATATTATTTATATTTTTAATTTGTATTAATATACAGTTTAACATATATATTTTTTTTATGTATTTCTTGATACAAAATAAAAATAAAAATAATTTTAAATAAGATAAAATTAAAATTTAAATATGATATAAATTTATTAAAATTTATAAATATAAAATTAGATCAATTCAACTTTTGATTTATTAATTTACTATCCTAACTAATTTGATGATGAATCGAATTTTAAAACGATGATATTACACTAAGTTGAAAATTGAAAGAGAAGGACGCTTTACTTTACCTGTGAGTCAAGTGTCAACAAACTGTCTTTCAAGTATCAACTCTAATGAATCTGTGGTATTGGTATGGTATTTACTATTTTGTCCCGCAAATAAGTACGGTGGAGGACACATAGAACCTTCTGGAGACACAATCCAGCAAAATATCTGCATTACCCTCCAATCTCAGCCGTACATCGTCTTCATCTACAGTAATCTTATTAGAAAAATGGAAACATAGTATATTTTGAACCTTAATTAAAAACATATAAAAAGACGGTGGTTCTAGAGAGTTCATTTCATGGGGTGGGGGAAGTGTTTTGCAATTTGCATTCTTTCCTCTTCCCTCGGAATCAAAATGTCTCGCATCACAAATATATTCCTGCAACATGTTTTACAATATTAAGCAATAAGTGAATAAATAAATATTGTCATTAGGTGAGTGAAGAAAGGTGAATAAATGGCGAAGGGAGGAGAGGAAGACTGTGATGAGTTGTATGCAGTTCTGGGTTTAGAGAAGGAGTGTTCCCAATCTGAGCTCAAGAATGCCTATAAGAAGCTTGCACTGGTTAGAATGAATTGAACATTTTAATTTTGTCTTTATTTTTTTGGTTTGGCTGACCCCCACTTTGCCTTGTGTTATGTAATGTAACAAGCAACCAATTTTGTTTGATGTGATGGGATAGAAATGGCACCCAGATCGTTGTTCAGCGTCCACCGTCGAAGAAGCCAACAAGAAATTCCAGGCAATCCAGCACGCCTATTCTGGTAATTAGTAATTACTCCCTCCACACGTTCCATTCCATTATTATTATGAATTTTACTCTGTTTTTGTGTGTTCCCAGTCTTGTCAGACGCCAACAAAAGGTTCTTGTACGATGTAGGAGTCTATGATAGCGATGACGACCAAAACGTATGTGTTTTCCCTTTCCTTCTTCTAGCCACTGCACAAACACAAAATATAATTAATTCAATGTACGATACCGAAAGTCCTTCTATAACCATTCTCTTTGCTATCTCTCTCTTTTCTTTAAAAACTAAAAATGGATTTATTAGTGGTGTGGTGCCCTCTCGTCGGCAGTCTTCCTGGAATAACAGGTATCATGTGTGAGACCAATTACAATCCATTTTTTTTTCACATTCACATACAAATGCTTGGTTCACAAACTTGGTTACGTGCCACAAGTGTTGTGATCTACACCCAAGCGATGGATTAAGGCCATATTAGAATTTCCTACAAGGGATATGACAGAATCAAAATTTGGTGGAGGTTTAGTTAAATGTTACTTCCATCAAACTCAGGATTGTATTTGTTTGTGATTAGCTAATGATAGTTATGGTATGTTTGTCTGTGCAGGGCATGGGTGACTTCTTGAACGAAATGGCTACAATGATGAGCCAAACACAACCCAATGTAAGCTACTAAGCAGAGCCCCGTTTAATTCATTGCAATCTTTGTCAACATTGCTGGGCGGCAAACTGTTCCACATTTTTAATTCCTTGTTCTTTTTACTATTATTATTATATAGATAAAGCTAAACTGTGGCCTTTGACAAATACTATGTTGTTGTCGTAGCTTTTTCTGTTGTTTGATGAATGATTTATTTTTTATTTTGGTGGTGGATGATTTTGCTTGGATACACTAAGAGCATCTGCGGTAAGCAACTCCCTCTGCCAAATCAACTCTTTTTCACTTTATGAGTTGCTTAAATTTTAGCACTGGAGCTTTTACAAGTAACTTTACTAAAATTTAAGTAATCCATAAAGTAGAAAAAAGTTGATGTGACATGATGTGGCACATGGGATTGCTTATAAGCAACCCTCACTGCAGATGCTCTAAGATGCACAACGGACTGTCACGGTGGGCTTTTCTATTTTTGGGCCCAAGCTTGGTAGGTGTTTTTAATTGACTAAAAATGCGAAAAGAATTTGGGAAGGCTATGGGTGAAGTTTCAAGCGTTATTAGTTAAAAGGAAAAGATTAAAAAAAATGGATGGAAGGAATTGAATTATTGAAGGGAGATAGAAAAGGTAGCATAAGAATAAAATAAAGAAGTACTTGCATAGCAAACTGAAAGGCCCTCGTTAATTAATTCATGAGTGGTGGGCCTGAATGACTAAATGATATTATGGCCCACCCACAAGGAATAGCGAGCCGACTGAGTTGGGTGGGAATTGAAAGTTGAAGGTAAAATCTTCCACTTTTACCACCGAATTTTGAGGGAAGTGAAGTCTGTACACATACTCATACGAGGCAACCCTTGGGTGTTGACTGTTGACTGTTGACTGTTGATTAGAAGATCGTGGTGTGTAGTCTAAAGCAACATGCATCCACCAATGATGGTTACTGGTTCCTTCAAATGCATCTATTATTTGTTACTTCCAAATTGGTCAATTCACTTTTTTTTGTTGTTGGTAATTTTAGTAAATAACTGCTCATTTACATTGGGCCTGTGAGATGGCAGGGAAACGGGGAGGAAAGTTTTGAGGAGTTGCAACAACTCTTTGAAGAAATGTTTCATGCGGGAAGCACCTCTCACACTGCACCTGCTTCTTCTACGTACGTCCCTTATGGTGAAAGTTCTAATTCAAATAAACTTAATTCCACTGAGATGAATTTTGGGAAGACAGAGGAAGAGGATACACCTGGATTCGATACCAGCTACCAGAACTTCTGTTCAGGGGTTAGTATATACAACATTTTTCATTTCATATATAGATACTATTCTACGAAATGGCATACATATTACATAAATCAAAGTTGAAGCCTCTAACTCCCTAGATGATGAATTACGTGCAAGTTTCATCTGTTGTGTCTGGGCCAATAGTGGATAAATGGTGAAATCAATTGGAAAACCACAAGTTAGATTAGCCGTGTAAGTGTGTTGTGTATTTTAAAGCACAGCTGATAATTAGGCAGTGTATGAAGATTTGCTGGTTCTGTTTCTGAACTACCTAGCTTTGCAATTTGTGGTTTGATAGTCAATAGATTAATCAGTTGAATCTCATTATATATGTTGTCCATGTCCCTCGAGGTTGTCATGTAATTTACTGTTATAAACGGGGATACAAAGGAAGGAAGCATGTGTTGTGAGGTATGTGTCCTTACATGGTTGGTAATGAAGTGTTTTCAGTATTTGACATTGCATAAGCAGAAGAAGCAGAAGAGGCTTTGTTTGTTATGAAACAACTCCAGCATAGTAGTGATGTTAATTATGTATTTTATTGTTCATGATGCGAAGGCAGGTGGAGCAGCTCAAAGAGCAGGAGAAGGGAAAGGGAATAGGGGGAGGAATTCCAGGAGAAGGAGGTAGCATCTGATTGTCAGTTGTGCATTAACCTTGGTATTGATATATATCATCGGAGAAATCCATAATCTCATAGTTAGTTCATGTCACAAAATTCTCAATGCTGACAGTGCCACCTCCGGCCATGACAAATTCCTTCTATTCTACCTATTATTCTTAGTTAAGGATGTTAATATTTCTTTTTCAAACAATTTCAGCTAAAAATGCAATATTGCCCGTTTATTAGTTATTTTGAAATTGTGATGAAGGATGATTAGAATAACAAAAACAAAAATTAATATGATAAAGAGACCAGTTCGCAATTTCTTCATGGACGAATACATTATGATTGGAAAGTAAAGCGGAACTATCATGGTTGTATGATGATGCTTTGCCCTTTCTAGTCTGATGCTTTTTGACCCAAGAAAGTGGGTTGGGAAGGGGACCACCGGTTGTTCCTTATCCCATATTTGATCGGGAGAAAATTCAGTTGAGTAATTTACACCGACTTGTATAATATTAAATTTTGTTTCTTAATAATGTAAATTTTTTAATTATATAATTTCTTGTATGAGTTGTATAAATAACTTTTTACAGAGAAAGTTAATGAGAAAATGAATTAAAGAGAAAAAAAATAGAAAAGATGAGCTGATTAGAAAGTTTAAAATAAAAAGAAAAGTGAAAATAAGTTATTGATGAATAGAATAAGTAAATAAGAAGAAGAATATATTAATGATTAAAAATATCTTAATATTTTAATATAACTATTTATTATGATATATGTTTTTAAATTTTTTTAATATATTAAATGAATAAAAGTTTTCTTTTTCAGTTTTGGAGAGAAAATTTATGTGAAATTTTAGTCTTTTAATTGTTAAAAGATTTAATTTAATCATATATTACATTTTCTTTTTTATTTTTCTTGTGTAAATTAATATGTTTATTTAAAAAATTCTACTTTATTCATATGGAAACAAATAAGGGCCATGTTTCAATGTACTTAAATTTTATCTATTAAATAGACTTAAATATATTTTTATTTATAAGCTATGAAGTAATTTTATTTTTAATTTTCTATATTTAAAAACGATATACAGTTGTAATTTGAAAAAATCTTATTTTAATTTGTCTACTCAAATACTATTAATGAATTTCTCAAGTATACTTGTTTATTATTAAGTTTATTACTAAATATTTATCTATTATTGATTTTATTATAAAAACATTAAATTAAATTTAATTATTAGTGATCTTTAAAAATTGAATATTCTTTGAAAGTACATAAATTAAAAAATAAATTTATCTTGAATTTAAAGAATTGAAAGTGAATTTAAGTCTTAAATATATTATTATATATTTTAATTTTAATCTCAAATAACTTTTATATTTTAAATATAATACTATTTTTACAATAATTTCGAAATATTGTTGAATACTAAATGTTAATAATTTAGTTAATAACTCTTCTGCAATACCCATCCCACCTTGGTATTATAATATATATTTTTTAAATTGTTATTGTTTTCATATACATGTTATTGATAATTCCTAGTTTTATATACGATGGGGTACCACAGTGCGAGAGGACCGGGACACTAACATTAACATGCGTGGTAAATATCATATAAATATGTTATGAGTTTCTAGGACTAGGGGGAATGGACCGGGACACTCAGAATGGGGCACCATAAGGGACTCTTTCCTTTTTTAGGACGCAGGCACATGGAACTTCATTTCTCGGGGTTTTAGAACTTCTATGTTTCTTTTAATAAAATTGACTTGGTTTATTATTTTGCAACAGGTGTCCAAATACTAAGATGGTACATAGGATCTTTTTTTTCAGTAAAAAATAATATAAGATTATTGATGTTAATATTCGTGCAATTTAAACAAGAAAGAAATACAAATATTTATTTTTGTTTTCATATTTTTTTTGTTGTAATGTATATCTTTAATATTTCTTTTATTCCGTTTATTTTAATCTTTTTTTTGTAAAGGTTATTTTAAACCATTTTGATAGTGTTTATTTTTAAATATTAGAAAATTGTAAAAGAATTTTTTAATGTTTGATAAATTATTCAATTTTAAAGGTTTTGAAAAAACATAATTCTAATTATTTATTTTTTAAACAAACTATTCAATTTCTAAAAAACACATTTAGAATAAGACCAAAATGTATTGAGAAGGAAAGGATCCTAATTATAATAGTCACAAAAGACTAATTTTTCCATAATGTAAAAATATTATTGAAATGAGATTAGTCTCTTGTTATCTCCTTGATAAATGTACCAAATTGTACAATTAATTTAATAATAAATATGAGTATTGTCTTCCAATAGATTTAGTAATACATGACAAAAATTACTAATTATGTTAAATTAAACTGTATATTAAGAATAAAAATATCGATTGAGTGCAGAATAATAAGTGTTTAAGTAAATATGTGTTATAAGAATTTTGTTTTGGTATTTTTATGAATACTTGGTATGTAAAAATTGATTTTAACATTATAATGAAATATGTTAGGGTTTAACTTCACCAAACCGTATTCTTGTGCTTACAAACAAACTTTAATATAGTTATAACTCAAAAATTATCATTCAACTTACAAATATACTCAAACGTTAATCTTTTACAAGTTGAAGTCTAAACTACTTGATTAAGTTATCAATTCCTTGCATAACCATGAGAATATGTATGTTTACATCAAACTCTAAAAAGAGAGTTTAGCTACACATAAACATGAAACATACTACAAATGATGAAGAAAGGAGGAAGCTTGATCTTAAAGCCATGAGAGCTCTTCAACTGTCACACACTCTAAGAAATATTTTCAATCATATGTCTCGTGATTCCCCCACTTTAGGTCATAAAGCCTTTTGTCTCTTCTCAATAATAATATGTCAGTACTTCTGGCACTAAACGTCAATTTTCACAGTTAGCGTGAGATAAAGATCAATAAAATACGACTCCTCGTACTATAACGCTAAAGCGTGAATTTCACGCTTAGCTTGGGAGCTCAATTTTGCCTTTGAAAGACTGACGCTAAGCGTGAGTTTTCACACTAAACGGAAACTTTAAATTGCTTCCATAACTTTCTAGCAAGCCGAGGCTTAGCCTGAGTTTTCAAGATAAGCACGGTACATTTATCTTTCATCTGAGACATAAGATATAAAATTTTAACAAAATATCTTAATAAATAATTGAAGTTTGTTCAAATAAAATTAAACATGAAAGAACAATGTACATATCCAAACTCGTGTTGATACATAAATGGCTCAGACATAAGAAAGAGGATTAAGATACTTAAGTGAGCACTCTAAAAGGATAACATGTCATGCAAAAACTAAATAAAAAACTAAAAGAGAATGACCTATATGAAAGAATGTGACATTGAGGGAGATGTATTGGATTGAGATTTTGAAAGACAATTTTAACATAAAAAAGTCTTGTAAATTTTAAAAGACTTTATAACAATATCATGACTTTTAAGATTTTTTTAAAAGACTTTTAAAACTTGAATTTTAATCAAAACTCTATAATTTAGATTTTAATGATTTTTTTTCTCGATTTCATGTGAAAACATGTGAATTTGTAATACTACTGGATTTGATAAAAAAAATAACATAAATAATAAATAAAAGTAAAATTAATACAATTTTTTATCTTTTGACAAATAATTGACGGTAATATTTTCCTAACTAACATTCACTCACATATCTAAAACTTTATTAACCCTCCATTCATTGACCTATTCTCTTTTATGCACTTGAGTTGAACAATATGTTCAAAGTCATGATCTTCATTAACTTATAACATTAAAGATGAAGACTCATCCACTAATTTAATTGGAGATTCATTAAAATGATATTCTTTGCAAAGAAAGATAGGTAGTGCAACACGCTAATGTAAGTTCAATTTGGGTCTAAAATAGAAATAAAAGTCCTGACTTAAAAATTGTGAAATATGATTTAAAAATACTAAATATTCTCCTAATCATACTTTTTAAGGGTGTATGATATAAATTAAAAATTTTATTTTTATTTTAAAGATCATTACCATGACCTACTAAGTCTTTTTAATATATATA